ATGAACTAAAACCTTCTGCTCAATACTTTTAGTAACAAATCTTCTTATAGTATAGAATAATAAACTTAAATTTAAATTAAAGTATATTTAAATTTTAATTTAAGCCCAAGTTATCGTATAATTATCCTCATTTGAAACAAAGTATGTTCTTGGTTGGTTTTTTTGAAACTTTCTCTGATTATAGAATGATTCACTGTCATCTAGACCGTCCCATGCAATAGCCACTAGATACACATGGCTATTGAGGATTTGAAATGTGGCCAAGGAAATGAAATTTTAATTTTATTTACTGTTGGTTATTTTTAATGTAAATAGCCACATGTGGCTAGTGGCTACCCTCTTGGGCAGCATGGCTAGAGTGGGTTGCAGTACATGCCCTTTGATTTGACTTTGCCTGCTCTCCAGCTCCTAGTAGCTTCATCCCCTCACCCCAAGAATCAACGTTCACAAGGCCAAATTGCCATCTCACACCTCTGTGGCTCTGCATATGCTGCCCACTTTCCTGAAATGCCCTCCTTCCCATCCACCTTCAAGCCTCATCAAAAATCTTGTTCAGATATCATTTCCTCAGAACACTTTTCCCTAACCCCCTTCCACCTTACATCACCCCACCACAAACACAATCTATCATTGCTTCCTCTGTGTCTCTCTGAATCAGTTTCTGTCATTTTTCTTATCATTCTGTAGTTGTCATTCTCTGTGACACTAACAGACTATGAGAATTTTGAGGATCAGGTCTTTTTCACCCCTTCATCCCATTGATGTGTGCCCATCACACAATCATGTGCACTAAATATTTGTGATCCCATTATTAATTTTGTACAAATGTGCAATGTTATACTTAATTTATTTTTGGAGAATTGACAACCTCTCTGTGATAATGATCATTTAGGTCAAAGTCTATTATAAGGCAAATTTTCAAATAATAAAAAGTTCTTAGAGTATCAGTTGTTTCAAACCACATCAATATAACATTTCAGTACAAACCAAAGATCACAAATGTTTCCTTAGAATTCCCTGGAACAAAATCCTACCTATAGCTGTTTCTCCTAAGGGTCTGGAAGTCTCCTAGATGTCAGAAACTGATCTTGTCATCAGTCTGTCCCTAGTGCCTATAATGACTTACTAGGGAGACATGAGTGAGGTTTATAAACAAGAAGACAAAAGGACTTAACTTAAGACGCTTCATGGACACAGTCAGAAGAGAATTTGGGGTAGTGTACCTTTACTATACCCCCATCCAATCCTACTACCAAGAGGGAAATGATTAAAATCTTATCTTACATGAAAAATATGTCCATGGGTGATGTGTGTTTGCTCAGTGACACATGTTATCCAAAAAAGAATTGTATGTTTCCCTTACTACTAGGCAAAGCTTTTGCTCAAGAACGCTGCCTTTGGTATATTATGTATCATCTGTTGCAATATTAACCTGGTCTGATGGTCACACTGGTTCATTCTTTTTTTTATCATGATTTTCTAACTATCTTTTTATTTGGATTTCCACACATTTATTTCCATAATTAGGATAAGCTATTGATGGATACATTTCTGTGACCCTAATTTGTATAAGATATTTCCCAAATACCAAACATGTGGCAAAGGTATTTTACAAATGATTACCTTTCCTGCCCTCCAGAAACTTACAGATCAATCATGCAACAAATCAACACACAGTGAACAGAAATGCATATTTGTGGGTACAGCACAGCAGCAGGACATGGAGGAAAATGGATTTCAGGAAAAACATGAATCCAAGGACTTTATCTTCAAATCAGATATAGATTTGACTTTTATTTTCTTATTAATTGTGTGGTTTTATTTTATTTTAAATGCACAAACAGAGCTTTTTATTATAAAGAAACTTCCATTTAACAAATGACTGAGTTCTTGAAATCATTTAGACAAACCTCTAATTTTTCCATATATTAATAGATTTAAAGGAGTCTTGCCTATGGCTTTTCTTTCCCTTTGCCCAATGCATATCTCCAAGAATTGTAATCTAAGCAAGTGTTTCATAACAGACAAATCTAAGGCAACTTTTGAGGCATCTAGTGAATAATGTGATATAATATCTTTCCCTAAGATGTCTTAGATTTAACTATACGGATGTCAATTTCTTTTTTTAAATTTTCTTATAAAATCTACCCATCTAAGAAGAACACTGATTAAGTCTAAAAACCAAATTCTTATGTTACTGGAATTTCTTGTGAATTCTACTGATATGGGATGTGCTTATTTTCAAAATGTCTATTGCTGCTTAGAAAAGGAAGACATGGTTTTCAAAGATTATGTTTTGAGGTTAAAAATGAAGATAGTAACCTTAAGTCTCTTAAGATTTGTAAGGCTGGCATGCCATCTATCTCAATAATACCTAACAAGAATGTCAAATGGACAGAAACAGTCATGGTACACGGGTGCTTGCAGCTGACAGTGATTGCTGTATTTTGGGTGATGGGGAACAGCATTTCCATTAGTTCAAGTGAAATACAATGCCCTGCCAACTCTAGGTATCAGTGTATTCAATACCCCTGCTGTGCCATGTCCATTTTCTGTTGCTGCAATTAAAAATCAGTCGATACAAAGTCAAAATGCGGCACATTCTTCTCCTATCCCTTTCCCTGTCACTGTGTTTCCAGTTTCACCGGAAGAACATGTCACTATGGTAACCAATCCCTCTGGTGCACAGACCAAGTCACCCTTTCTAGTCAGATTGCCAAGCAGAGTAACAGGGAATCAAATCCCTGAATGGAACCACCAGAAGTCATGAATTCCATGCCCCTTTCTTGAAGTGGGGTTAACCAATACCAGACAGAAGGATACCTGTCTTGTTCTAGAAGACATTCAAGGAAGGAAATTCAAGAATGTCCTTCAGCAAATTCTCCAGTGTTTACCAGTCGTTATTAACATGAATCCTCTCTCACATTTCAGCTAACTCCCTCCCATTTCAATTTTAAAGACAGCAAAAAATGATGGATAAAATATCACTTTATAAATCTGAGAATCTGAAAACTGTTATAAAGTCACACACTGTCAAAAACTATTCTACTTCCTCTTGTTTTTCTAGTACTCAGTACAAACCTACTTGCTCTCTTATGGAATCCCCTAATAGCCTGTAAATCTTCACAAAGTTGTAGAGCTCCAAATGGGTCACCCTGCTCTAATAAGAACTAATCATGAAGCAAACAGGATGTCTGTAGTATTAACACGCCCATAACTAAAGTAGCTAAAATCTCTAGTCATTCTAAGAAACTACAAAACAAACACAAAAATGGATCATCACTCTCAAGATACCTCACCTAAATCTGACCTGCTCATCTGACATACCCACTGTTTGTCATTCCTAAACAACTGACTTTTTTAATGAACTTTTTTTCTGAATAATTGAAATAATTTTATAAATCAAAGAACATCAGCCATGCGGGGTGGTTCATGCCTATAATCCTAGCACTTTGGGAAGCCAAACTTGGAGGACTGCTTGAGCCCAGGAGTTTGAGACCAGTCTAGGCAATGTAGTGAGACCTCATCTCTACAAAAAATAAAAATAAAAAAACTTAGTCGGCCGTGGTAGCATATGCCTGTGGTTCCAGTTACTCGGGAGGCTGAGATGGAAGGATCTCCTGAGGCCAAGAGGTTGAGGCTGTGGTGAGTCATGATGGAGCCACTTCACTCCAGCCCAGGCGACAGAGTGAGACCCTGACTCAATAAATAAATAAATAAATAAAATCATTGCCAATCTGACAGGTGAAAAATGAATTTTTTTCTAAAAAAGAACAACATCAGTTCTCATAAATATTATTTTGAAACAGCAACAAACCCCACAGCATTATAATAAGAGATATTAAGAGCTGCCTTATGCCTTGGCCTCAAAGCTCTTTGCAAATAGTAGCATTTTTGTCACCTTGGCATTACCATTTAATAGTAGAAGAGAATTAAACACAAGGGGGAAAAAATAAAACTCATAAAATCTGTACATCTTCCCAGGATATAATGACTACAGGAGGGAACATATTCCTTTCTTCAGAGCAATATTAATACACATTCAAACAATATTCCAATGAGCTGATAGAACAGGATGCCCCCAAAGTGTAAGTCATACAACGCTGTACAAATTGCATCAAATAAGCACAATTTTTAAAATTTATATGATCATATCAAAGTATCAATTTTTGTTAGCAAATGCAGGGTGTTTACTGTTTTGGTACACTTTGGGGGCTTTTTATATAAATCTTGTGAAAATCTAGTTTTTCCTCTGAAATTCCCACTTTGCTGTTACCCAAAAAACTACTTCTATTTTTTACTTTTATTTCTTTATCTATGTATCTATTTATTTATTTATTTTTGCCTCTTAGATCCTGCTGATCTTCGGTGCACACAAGTCACTATTATGAATCACTTTTTCAAAAGGAGAAATGAAGAACTGGGATGGGATGCTACTAGCCAACAGGCTTTGAACTGCCACAGGGCAGGGGCTGTGATCTATTGGTGTTTATGTGACCAATGCCTGCATCATGCCCTGTATAGTACAGCACTCAGCAAACGTTTCTGGCATGAATAAGGCCTTCTCTGTGAGATGTTTCCACCAGTTTCCCTCGATTAAATTCGTTCAACAAAGATGAAAACTAGGTGCCAGCCTACCCCCATACATTGCTCTTAAAGAGCCTCTTAGAAGAGTACAAACAACGTTACAGATTCCCTTCCTCCCCGGAGGCTGATGAAGCGTTATCCTGGGTGAGAACCCTGGACCATGAGATCCCATTCGAATCCCCACAGACAAGCGCAAGACCAGAGGCAGGGGAGAGAGTTAACCCTCCACCACGCTTCGGGAGGCAAGTTGTGGCCACTCCGAGGCCCAGGCAGGCCTGGATAACTGGACCTCCCGGAAGCAGGAGCCCCTGTGGCCCCGGGAGGGGAGACAGGGCCGCCAGGGGCCGCCGGGGGGCCGCAGGGCCGCGAGACGCCGGCTCTCCGCAGCGCCACGCCTCGCGCCGAGCGCTTACCTTTCCGAATGAGGGCGGCGATCTCGGGGTCGAAGCCCTGCCGGTGGCACTTCCTCCAGAGGCCCATGTTGGTGGAGTTGTACTGCCGGCTGCACTCGTCCGCGGGGCTCATGGCGAAGAGCTGCCGCCGGTTCCGGGCCCGGAGGAGCTTGCCCTCCCAGCGGTCCAGGCGCGAGCGGCTCGCCCGGAGCGGCAAGTTGTTGTTGTTGTTGTAAATGAAGCCAGGGTCGACCCGACGGGTGTTGAAGGCCTTGCACCTGTCCCTGTGCTTCCTGGCGTCCGTCTCGTACCAGTGGTCCGAGCAGATGGCCACGGCCAGCATGCCGAGGGCGCAGAGCGCTAGCGACAGGCCCGTGTAGAGCAGTAACCTTCCGGCAGCCATGCCTCCGCTTGGCGGCTACACCATGGGCATGATCCGCCGCAGCCT